TTTTCATTGCTTCCTCTGTTCATTTTTTTTTCTTTACCTTTTAAAATTTAATGCTGTGAGTGATATTTACGACAGGTATGTAGTAAGATATCTGAGAAGTTTGGTAAACATGTTGTGAAAGAGAAACCAACTGTGAGAAGCCTCTTAGCTCCACTGAGAATGTTTGATGGAATGGATGAAGAGGAAGCTCCTAAGAAGAAGCCGGAACCTGTAGATGGTCCGCTGCTGACTGAGCGTGATAAGATGAAGCTGGAGAGGAGGAAGAGAAAAGAGGATCGCCAAAGAGAGGTAACGAGAAAGACAATATCGGCACTGAAATATACTTTTGTTTTGCATTGTGGGTACAATTGGACTTTGTACCAGGTAAAGAAAGATGGAGGGAGGGGGGATACAGGGATGGTACCAATGATAGTGACTGGCTATGTATAACTTCCTGGACATTATCAAATATTATATTTTTTCACAGGTGCAATATCAGTCGCACTTAAAGGAAATGGAAGCAGTCAAAGCTGGGATGCCTGCTGTAGCTGTAACTCATGACAATAGTGATGGACCAGCAGTCAGAGACATCCACATGGAGAACTTCACTATTTCTGTTGGGGGTCGTGACCTTATTGTGGATGGTTCCGTGACCCTATCTTATGGGAGGCACTATGGTTAGGACTGCATCTTAACAAGGATCATATCCTATTTTTACAGTGATATAATTTGCCATACCCCGTTTTATTGCATTTATTTATGTAGTGCTTTTAATTGTCATGAATGATGGTTGATAGATGTGGTGAAATTTGCTTCCAGTGAAGTAGTAATTTGACGCTTGATAGATGCTGTGAACTTTGTTTTCGATGAAGTAGTGAACTGCAGTTCAAGGCTTTATAGATTTATAATATGCACGAAAATGAACTTGTTAGCTAGTAGTTATTGTGGAACCAAGTTCTATTTATATTTAATCCAGTTGGATACTTATAATGGATTGAGAATTCGAATAAGAGGGGAGTATTAATTGAAACACCAAGTCCTCAAAGCATTTAACTTTAGATATGCCTACGACCAACCTCATACATTCAGATGATCTTTTCCTACTTCTGCAGGCCTTGTTGGTAGGAATGGTACTGGTAAAACAACTTTCCTCAGGTACATGGCATTGCATGCTATTGAGGGTATTCCCAAGAATTGCCAGATTTTACATGTGGAGCAAGAAGTGGTTGGCGATGATACGACAGCCCTGCAATGTGTGCTAAATTCTGATGTGGAAAGAACTCAACTTTTGGAAGAAGAATCTCGTCTTCTTGCACTACAGGTTGAAAATCGGGCTTTAAGTAGCAAAACTGATTTAACATGCACTCTTCTTCAATTCTATTCTTCCCAGTATCTCAATATTTTAAAGCTTTAAATTATTTGCTTCAGAAAGAAATGGTCCCAGATGGGAACTCAGGAAAAAGCAACATGGAGCTGAATGAAGTTGATAAAGCTTCAGCTTCACAGAGGCTTGAAGAGATATATAAGAGGCTAGAGTTCATTGATGCTTACTCTGCTGAGGCTCGTGCAGCTTCCATTCTTGCGGTTAGTTTATCCCTCTTAATAAACGTTATTTGGAACTACTGTTGTATTCAGTCACGTCTACATTGAGCCTCAATGTACACGTGACTGAATACAACAGATTGAGGCTTCATTACTGGTGCTGTAGATTTAGTGCGTAGTGAGTCTTGTGTGTCTTATGTTACTGAATTCTATTGTCAGATATTTGACTTGCATATTGTTAGCTTATTGGTACTTTTAGATAATTTTTTTACGCTGTCCCTTTGTTTGTCCTGTGCTGTGGTGGTTTAGGCGAGGTCGATGAGCTGTGTTTCTATTTCCATTTTGTTCTCCTGTCATAACTATTTAGGCATTAATATTCTAATACATACTAACATACAGCTTTATTGAAACCTGTACTCATTTGACCCTTTTGCATTGAGCATTTGGCAGGACACTGCTGCTGAACATGAATGTTGTTTATTCATTTTTACATGGTTTGTTGTTGTTGTTATTGTCTTCTTAAGTGATGACATTTAGAGTTAGATGTGCGGCTAGATAGTTCTGACAAACTAGTAACGTGTTTGTCTACTCGTTTATTTTTTATATATTGTTTTTAGTGTTTGTCTGAATCCTTTTCAGGGACTCAGTTTCTCCTCTGAGATGCAAAATAAGCCTACTAAAGCTTTTTCTGGAGGATGGAGGATGAGAATAGCACTTGCTCGAGCCTTGTTTATTGAACCTGATCTATTACTTCTCGATGAACCTACTGTATGTAGTAAATCTTCGTCAACCTTATTCATTAACATGAAATTATTTTTTCACATACATCTCCATTCTCCACTTTTATGACAGAATCATCTTGATCTCCATGCCGTTCTGTGGCTGGAATCTTACCTTGTGAAATGGCCGAAGACATTTATTGTTGTTTCACATGCCAGAGAGTTCCTGAACACAGTAAGGCTTTTCAGATGTTGTTTATGCTGGAAAGGATCAGTAAAAAAAATAGAAAGGTTTTTGCTCAATTCATAAAACTAGGAATGTATAATTTACTATGTATTTCTTACAGGTGGTCACAGATATCCTCCATCTTCAAGGACAAAAATTGACTGCATACAGAGGTAACTATGACACATTTGAGAGGTCAAGGGAGGAACAAATCAAGAACAAACAGAAAGCTTTTGAGGCAAATGAACGTGCAAGATCTCACATGCAGGTTCTTGCGCAATGTTCAGAGTTAATTATACAAGTGCCACAGGAGACGTTTGTTGATGTGTATGTTACATGACAAGTTTTTCCTGTTTTGAATATTGTGTTGCAGTCATTCATTGACAAGTTCCGCTACAATGCAAAGCGAGCATCACTTGTTCAATCAAGAATCAAGGTAATTTTATCTTTTTTTCCTCTGTTTCGTTAATAGCAATTTAAAACTTAGAGGGCTAATGTCTTAATGTTTCTGGGTCGAGTGATCTTATATTAAGATGAGAACCCATTTTGGTCATCTGATTTTTAATTTCCACCTTTTTCTGTTAGAAAGTTGTCATTATTTATTTTTCGTTTCATTCAGGCTCTTGACCGGTTGGGTCACGTGGATGAAGTTTTCAATGATCCTGAGTATGTATTCTCTGAATCTAACTTCTGTTTAATGTTTTTTTTTTAATGTATTCATATTTATTCTAGCTTCAGCACTCTTTGACTTTGATGTCCGGAAGATTGATCTTCTTTTTTAAGTTTCTTGTGATTTTGCTTATTACTGATGATTATTCTGGTTTCAGCTACAAGTTTGAATTCCCATCTCCCGATGATAGACCAGGCCCGCCAATCATAAGTTTCAGGTTCGAATCCGGATACATTCTAACAGATAATACTTTAGTCCTTATTTCTTGGCCACCATGATTCAATTTTCTCCCCTTGCTCCATTGTTGATGCAGAGACACCTTTTCATATGAATTCCCTGGCTCTACCATTCATGTTTGGACTTATTTATTATCTGCTGTTAATCTCCGTAATTATTGCAGTGATGCATCTTTTGGATATCCTGGGGGTCCGGCATTGTTTAAGAATTTGAACTTTGGAATTGATCTTGATAGCAGAATAGCAAGTAAGTCTGTTTCTGAAGTTGCTAAGTTTATATGGTTCATTGCTAACTTTATTATTCTTACATGATTAATTTGTAAATTGTTTCTTCCACATAGAATTATATTTGTTGTCATGAGTAGTAAAATAAAATTATGCAAGCAGTTGGTCCACTAGTTCTTGTTCTTTATCTAGTGTGTTTAAGAATCTATGCTCTAGGAAGGTGCTTATGCTCATGTAATTGATCCTTTATTTTCTACACATTTCAGTGGTTGGACCAAATGGTATTGGAAAATCAACTATACTAAAACTAATTTCTGGGGAGCTTCAACCAAGCTCTGGGACAGTTTTCCGTTCAGCCAAGGTATTGGAAGTGTTGTCAAAACATTGTTCGTCTGATTTATTATCGCTCCTTGTTTTTCTGGTTGCTCATGCCTTAGGTACATGGTACCTCTATCTATTGGTAAACAAGGTCCTTTGGTGCCTCGCTGTACTGTGCTCTCCATTTGCTTCCTTTAGCAGTTTGTTTTGTCTCCTGGCTAGTTTACTCATTCAGTATTTGAATGTCTTAAAATGCAATGCCTTGCTCGTTTCATTCAGACTATTTCAGTTGTTATAATACTAGAATGTACATGCTGGTTTTATTATTGTACTTCAATGAATGAACAAAGAATTGTAGAAAGTTACTTTCACTTAAAAAAAAAAAAAAATTTGTTACAGCGTATTCTTTGTTCTACGCGTACACCCTCCTTATGATGGTGTGAAATTTGCCTTTCAGGTCAGGATTGCTGTATTTAGCCAGCACCATGTTGATGGTCTAGATCTATCTTCTAATCCCCTGCTGTACATGATGCGTTGTTTCCCGGTAAATCCTGTTCCTGTTAAAGTGACTTGCATTTTTTCCATTTGTGCCTGTAGCAGTGCAGGGGGCTCTAATATATTTGTTGGTTTAATGTTGTCAAATTTAGGCTTCACATGACTTTTCCACCCTCAATATTATCAATACAATTAAATAAGAAACACCAATCAGTACTACACATTTTTCAATAAAATTCACTATGCATTCACCCACATATTGAATTTTACTAATTTTCTATCACATCAACTTTAATCATTACATTTTATCTCAACATCCATTCACAATCTCAAAATTAGTTCATCCTTCCACCAAAATAATTTTTCCACTCTCACTCATTTTTTTCAATCAAACATTTTTTTCTTAGTAATCTATATTCAATCTCGCAATTAGTTGTAGATGTGCTTTATTGCTGAAGATGCCTCCATAATGGTGACCTTGCGATTGGGATAGCTATATATCGAATTGTGCCTGCAATTGGATAGCTATAAACCGAATCATTATGAAGAAGTATCTGATTGCATTTGAAAATCCCTTTGTTTTACCCTCTCAAGTCATTTCCTTCCTACATAGTGGTGACTTTGCGATTTTGCCTGATCATAACTTCTGCGCAATTTGAGTTTGGTTGGATGTCTGGAAATTCCTAACGTGCCTGCATCTAATGTTGCACAGGGAGTTCCAGAACAGAAGCTAAGAGGACATTTAGGCTCATTTGGCATAACTGGCAATCTTGCCTTGCAGCCGATGTACACTTTATCAGGTACCGTTTCTTTGATATACACGGTGGTAAAAGCTAATAGACATAATTCTGTGAAAATTAGTTGACAACTTTTTGAGGTGCGTTAAATTCTATGACAGGTGGTCAGAAAAGCAGAGTTGCATTTGCAAAGATAACCTTCAAGAAGCCTCACATTTTATTGCTTGACGAGCCTTCTAACCATCTTGTAAGTTGTTTATATTTGTTACAACGCTTTTTTTTTTTTCGTTCCTTGGTGCTATAAATATTTTATACTTCCTTGTTTCTGTGATGATATACTGTATCTGTTACATTTGATTCCCATTTTTGTGCTGGGTTCAGACCTTTGGATGAGTTTTAGTTTCATTATCCCACTATCCCCTATAATTTGAAATGCTCTGATTGTTAATTTCAGAGTTCTTACAATTGATCATTGAGTTGTGATCAATGTTCTCAGTTTTGTTCGAAAGATCTCATGGCATTTAACTGGAAAGTAAATTTACATTATATTTTATTTACCGAATAAGATCAATCAATAATGTGTTGGTATTTTATGTAGGACTTGGATGCCGTTGAAGCATTGATTCAAGGTCTTGTCTTGTTCCAAGGAGGCGTGTTAATGGTACTGCTAATATTTTAGATATACTTCGGTTGATTAGATACACGAATGATTGTTTGGCT